GTTGTTTAAAGATTCAAAAACCTTGCTTATGATTGGAAGAAGACGAATGGGATTATATTTAGATGAGTCAGATCGCTCTCTAGAATTTTTAAAAATAGGGATAACAGATGCCCCTTTCCAGCAAGCTGGAAAACAAGACTCTGATAAGCACTTTTTAAATAGTTTTGAAAGTATAGACGACAGCTCCAGAGAACAGTTCCGCAAAACTATAGCAGGTATGTTGTCCGGACCACAAGCTGTAGAAGAGTCTAAGCAGGAAATCACTTTAGATACAGAAGCTAGAGTGATACCAATGTTAAGCAATCATCAACCTGTTCAGATGGGTATATCAGGTAGAACGCAACTAGTGGAATTAAGAAATGATATTAATAAAAAGTTCAGATAATTTAGCTTTGTCTTTAGGTGATACAAAATCTGAACCATACAAGAGAGGTGGAATAACAGATTTGCGCTTATTATTGATACTGATAAAGATTCTTCAGAAATCAGGAGAGCCTAATTTTTGAAATAAAATACGAGATTTTATGACCTGAGAATAGCGGTCTTTGGCATTACATAAAACCTTTTTACAATGGTTTCTAGCAATAGTAAACAGACGTCTGTTTTCTATAGACGTCTGAGAGAGGCTTGAGTGAGGTTAGAATAAGTGAGAGAGAATAAAAGATTCCATGCCAGCATGAATCCTAGAAGTTATGTAAGAAGCACATTTGTCAGTAGGAAGATAAAAGATTTCTACCCAAGGACCATCACAAAGAAAATCACGGAAAGAGTCCCAGTCTGCTTTAAGTTAGTTGTAAGAGATAAGATTATAGAGGGATTTTGATGATGAAGAAGAATGAAATAATAGCTTTAGAGAGATCAAACCGTGATCAAAAAAACATAAGGGTGAATGTGGAGAAACTGAGCACTGACTAGGATCAAAAACAAGACATAAATCAAGTAGAAAAGGTAAATGATTCTGGTTGTCTGGAAAACGAGTTGGAAAGTTTACAATTTGATTTAAAAATTGAGAAAGGCAAAAGTTGTGGGCCTTAACGCCTGCAATGTCACTGACACTAGAGCCAAGCTATTCAGAGTGATGAACATTAAAGTCACTAACTACAATGATATTGGCTGATGGATAAAGAGAGAGGGCTTGGTTAATTTGATCAGAAATAACATTGAAAAGAGTGTAGCCTTGAGATGAAGGAGAACAATATAGAACAAAGAGAAAGGCAACAGAGTGAAATGGTGCTAAACAAATGCACATAAAAGAATAGTAAGTTGATTCAAACCTAGTTTACCAACAATTGGGTGAACTCTTAAAAATATAAATGCCCTGGCCAAGCATGTGACAATTGTCTTTACAAATTAAAGGAAGATAACCATCGACACTAAAATCACATGATGAGACAGCAAAACTCAAATTAGTCTCACAAAGAGCAAGTAGGTCTAGTGAACATTGCAAAAAATAAAACTCAACAGACTTCGAAGGCCACAAATATTAGTGAATGATTAGAGAACTTAGTGATGATGATGGTTTTTGTGTTTTATAGTTTTTGGTACTTTAGTCATTGTAAATTTGTTAAAAAACTTGACTCAAAGCACAGATCAATACCCTATTTAATAGTCCAAACAATGTTACCAGTAGCAGGATAACCTGACCTGACTTAAATATATAATATATGTATATATATAAATGATTATATATATATATATATATATATATATATATATATATATATATATATATATATATATATATATATATATATATATATATATATATATATATATATATATATATATATATATATATAGGCTTGTGGAGCCAAATTTTTTTACAGCACGGTTCCGGCCTCAAAGAAATAAGCCGTTCCAGCTCAGCTCCCATATTTTATGAACAAAAACTGCAAGTGTTGAAATATTTTTTTGATCACGTTGACCAACCCAAATCCAAACCAATTACAGCAACTAATTTTAGCAACTAAGGTTATTGTATTACCCTAAACCTTAACTACTACCAGATATTACATTTGAAAAGAAAAATGTTTTGGGTAAATATAAATTTTTTTCTATATACTATTTATCCAAAACTAGAATTTTTTGTTCTAATTCTACCCAGTGGACACAATACCTAAAAAAGATGTATTTTGAACGTCCCAAACATGTCCAAAACGTTCATGAGACATCCAAAACGCTTAAAAGATGTTTAAAAGATGTCTTTCTTATGCCTTTGTTCAACGGCTCTTTTATGTCCTATGTCCACAGGACATAAAATAGCTGTTAAACGTTCAGTTTGAATGGTGTTCAAAATAGTGGTCAACCGAAACAGAAAAAAAGCCAAAACCGAAATAAACCAAAATTTCAGGTACTCTAGTTCGGGGTCGAAACCGACTATTCAGCAAATATTTTACCAAAACTGATACCGACATTTCGGCTAGTCAAAATTAATTTCATTAGAAAATCTTATTTAAAAATGCAATTTTACATTTGTTGTTATTTAAGTGTGTAATTATGTAAAAGTTAATTACACGTGTTTCACAAATTGAGATTTAATACATAAGTTAATAGCAAAAGTTAACAACTGGCTACAAAACAAAATTTTTTCGAGGTTATCTGGTAACAGTCGGTTTCTTTTTAATTGTTAGGGTTAATTTAAAAATCTCCAGCTTTTTAAAATAACCTTTCCACATCAATTGATATTAGTGGAATGGTGAGAATCCTCTTGGCAATTTCAGCAAAGACCAGCATGACATCACTACTCGAATTGTTAAGCAAACTTTTCTTTAAATAAACATTATCAGTCAAAATATTGACAAATGATCAAAATATTGCGCACTGCAATAGCTTGATCATTTTCGGTTTTGATATTTTTAAGAAACAGATGAAAATGCGCTATTTAGTATAAAAAATTAAGTAATTTGTAAACTATGAGCTTCAAATTTCACATAGAAATAAAATATTTTGTAAAAATTTTCAAAACTAACAATTTTTCTAAATTAGATAAAAAATTAAAATCATACAAATTTTTTGGTTTTCGGTATGTTTTTCAATGGACATTATGCTTTTTACTGAATTTATAAAAAGTACAGAAACTGAAACTTTGGTGTCTGTTCAAATTGAAATTTCAGCTGAAACTGATACCAAAACAGAATTTCGGTTGATCACTAGTTCAAATGTCAATCAAATTGCTACAAAGATGTTTAAAAGTTATCTTTTGTATGTCCCGTGCCCACTGGGTAAAGCATGCAATCGTTAAATTCAAAATGATAAAAAATTCAAAAAAAAAAATTAATTTTAAATTCAAAATTAATTTTAATCTAAGAAACTTAAAGCTTATAAAAATGCTTTTTATTTAAATATTTTTCACTATTTCAAATTAATAAATAATAATTAATAATAATTTACGCTAATTGAAGACATCAACTTCTGCAGTGTCTTTGGCAATTTTTTTTCCCCACTAATATCCACTCTCTAATCAAATCTTTAGCTGTACTTAATGTTTCACCACCAAAATATACTTTTTTGATTCCCCAAAATTTATCAATGGAACGGAACTGTGGGCATTTTAATGGATTCAAGTTTTTTGGTATGAATTTGATGTCTCTCGAGTTGTACCACTTTACGGTCTTTTTAAAATAATGTCAAGAAGCAAGATCAGGCCAGAACCAACAGGGGACATAGTAACTTCGATAAAATGGCAAAAGTCTAGCTTGCAAGCCTTAATGTAATTATTTAAAGATGATGATATGACAAAAGCTCGAGAGTTCAAACCTGAGCAGTATATTGCTTGCCACAAGAGAAGTTTCTTACTAAATTTATCCAATCATTTATACTTGAACTTGTTGCTGACAAGCCCATGAACAGTTGAAGTATAAAATTTTGGGCCTGGGAACAATTGAAGTGTAAAATTTTGGATATGTTTATTTCATCATCCATAATTATAAAGCAACTAAACTTTGTTAGCACTTTTTCATAATGTTTTTGAGCTTGAGTTTTAGCAATCAGTGATTGCTTATCTGATCGATTTGAATATTTAATGGCTCAATAAGAATTGAAATGACAAAAAAATCTGAAACTTTTTGGCTCATTCTCTGTTTGATTTTGCGTGAATGATAGTCAAATACAAATTACTGCTTACTTATCCTTAAAGCCACTTTTTCTTCTCGACCAATTTTGCTCGTTCTATAAATAGAGAGCTATTGTATTGTTTTATGACCAATTTAACAGTAGTTTTGCTAGATTCATATGCTTTAGCAATTAAAAGTAACAATGCAGAAGGATTATGTAGATAGTTGTGCAGAATTTTTTTTCGTGTTTCAAACTGTTTCGAACACATTTTAGTTAAGAGAAATATTTTGACTATTTTTGTTTATTGATGTTTTTAATTAATATTATGACTTAATTACGCAAAAAAAAAAAAAAAAAATTTAAATATGTTAGTGACAAATTTTAAAATAAAATTCATTGTTCCGAATTTAACGATTGCATGCTTTAATATAATTTTTTAGATATGAATAACCTTTGATCATTTAATTGCGCATCAAATATTTAACAGTATAATATCAGTATAAAAATATAATATAAAGCAATACATATAATACTGTAAGAATATTTCCATATATAATTTACTTGTTTTTTTTTTTTAATAAAACATTTAAGAATTACTTTTAAAGGATTGTATTCTGTTGAGTACAAAATCTTTAAAATATTCTTTTTTATTACATTTTGGCAAGACTGTAACTGTTAGAAAAAATATTTAAAAAAAATAGAAATTCAATAAATAATTCATTTAACAAATTAGTTAAACAAGGAATGAATAAAGATTGTCTACCGTAAAAAAAACATACATTCTATTCCTTTAAAAAAACAAAAGAGCCAAGAGTTTTGCGGCTCCGGCTCCAACAATGAACAGCAGCTCCCCAGCTCCGGCTCCACTTTACCATAAAGTTTCTTTGTATATTAATCAAAGATATTTATAATGTATTAAACAATCAAGAAAACCGATACTAACATACCTTCATTGCTATTTTTAGTTCAGTAGATTTTGCTTCCAATCGTTCCATAACACCATCCAAATAATAAACAAGAAGTTTGCATTGACCACAATAACTTAACACTACCGCCAAGGCAACACAATTTGCCAAAGCATTAGAAAGAAATATCAGAACCATCACCGCATATGATTTCCTATAGGTTACCAAAGTTACCCAATAAATTTTATAAAAACAAGTAAAAACATTACAAAATAATAAAACAAATTAAGATTCATTAAAGCGGAAAAATAATCCATAGCATGTAGTACACTAAATATTTGATTTACTATAAACCACAATCATAAGTATCAAATATAAAAATAATACCAATTTTTTAAGATAAAAATGTCATTCTTAAATGCTTGAAAGGAAAAAGCCATTATTCCAAGAGAAAAAAGAAACCAGAGTAGACCAGATGCCAAAAAAATTCTACAAAAGGCATAAAACTTAAAATCATTTCATGCGTGAAAATATACATTTCGATAAAATATTAAAAAATGGTTATTAATTTAAATGGCGATTAACTTTTATATATTAAATGTATGATAAAAATATTAGTAACACAAAAACACAAATTTAGTTTTAATTGATTGACTATTTAAATAACATTTTATTATTATATTATTAATAAAAATAATAATTATATTTTAATATTATATTATTAATAAAAATACATATAACTTAGACATGAATAAAAACTTAAAATTTAAACACAATCTATAATTTTTAAAATAATATTTTTTAAAGTAACCTGTAAATTTTAACAGAATTAAAATTAGTTGAAAGATAAAAAAATAAGTAAAAAGTTTATTTTATTTTGGCAATTGTTCATCAAATTTAAACACAACCTATGTTAGTCATCTATGTTGTGTTACAAATTGTAATGATAACTGTAACTCTCAAAATAGAGTTTCAAAAATTCAAATCCTAAGTAACATTGGTGAACAAAAACATTATTTATTAGCTGCAAGTGTATTCTACTATTACTAATTATGAGATGCTGATTGCTCATGATGCTTAATCAGTATTTGGTCACTTAAATCTAAGTTTAACTCTTACTACCACTAAAAAACATTAGAAACAAGCAACTAAGTGTTTGCTGCAGTTAGGTTAGTAGTACATTGCAAGAGAAGGAAGAAGCAAACCCTAATTCTCAAGACAAGGTAGAAAATATAATATTTTTCAAATAAAGTTTAAAACTAACGAATTTATTTTTTCCATTGTTTATTTTAATTCATGTCTAGAATCTAATGATTGCACTCTTCCTGTCATCCGAGAGAAACAAGTTAATCATTTATTATGTCTTTATAAAAATACAGATAAAAACTTTATATAAAAATAAAGTATAACTACTTTCACGTGAGATACACAAATTAACAATAAGAATATGTTTATTAACATGAACTTTTAATATTTTGTTGATCCTCCCTTGTTTTTTATAACTGCACAAAGACAATTCGGAATACTATGAATGCAATTTAAAGCCTTTTCTTTCAAATGAACATTATGGTTCCCATTCCAAATAACTTTTTTAATCTATTGGGTCCTATTTGTGACCTTTTCTAGCAAAATTTCTTTCTTTAATAGCTCCCATGCATTTTCTATGGGGTTTAGATTCCTGGCCATTCCAAAAGTGGAATTTTTAGAGATAATAATTTTTTATTGGATTCGCCGTGTGGAATGGTGTTCCATCTTGCATAAATATTTTCTTCTGCTTATTTGGAAACCACTTCTTCAATTGAGATAAAAGTCGGGTTTTAATGACCTTTTTATATTGGCCCTGTTTCAATATTCCATCCACAATGTACTGTTGACCAAGGCCTTTTCCACTAATAACCAACCAATACATGACTTTAGGAGAGTGTTTAATTGTCTGGATTACACAATCTAAATGAAATTTTTGATTGGAAGCCCTTTTCATGTATTGAGCCTTTTGAGTCATAATTTCTATGGTTGACTCATCGCTGATGCATACCTCAAGAAAACAAAACAAAAACAATCACTAAATACCTATAAATAGGAAGAAAAAAATTATTTGTATTATAATGATTTGCTGATTTCCAGTCATCAACAGTGAAACTACCGTACTTATTTGCCCAATCCAGGCGCTTTTTTCTCTTTTTTAATTTTTTAATAGGTTAATTTTTGCTTTTGTGCTGGCCTTCTACTTCTGATGCCCAATCCATGCAAACTTTGTCAAACAGTAATTGTTGCTACATTCAATCACACCTCATTCAACTTAATAGCATTTGCTGAAAATGTAGCAAATCTATTTTCATTCACTGCTTTTACTAGCTTTCTCTCATTCCTTGGTGTTACTTTTTTTTTATGCAATATCTAAGTGGAGGCCGTTTTTCAATTTGTCTTTTGTTTTGTTTACTGCGTCTGTATTCTGCGTCTTGATATCTTACATTTTCTTGAGTTTTCACTTATTGAGTAATCTTATATTTCAGAAGATAATAATTGCTTTTTTTTCAGAACTGATGTTTTCTTTTTTCCCTATTTTGTTATGGGGAAAACTTTTAGACTTTTTTTACTAAAAAATTATTTTAAAACAGATAAAAAATTTTGTATAGAAAATATTGAAGCTAAGTATACAAAATGTATAAATATTGTTTAAAGATGGTTTAAAGCATATTATAATATAAATCTAATATAATTAAATCGCAAAAAAAAATTACTGCACTTAAAGAAAACATAATAAAACAGCGTGACAAATAAAACACAAATTTCATGTAGAAAACAAAATTGTGTGATTTTCACAACTTTAACTTTCATGCTTCTGCAATCATCAGTTAAAATGCAAATAAAAATATTTTCGTTTAAATAATTATACACTAATGTAAACAGTTGTATAAAACTATACATAAAAACTACTATTACAAGTGTGTGTATCTAATCTTCTGGTTTATGGCTGTTTAATAGGAATTTATTTACAACATTTAAAAATCAACTTTTTTTTTTTTGTTCAGTAGCTCTTAGGCATTTTTAAAAAGTTCCATATAAACAAAATAAACATTTATTTGTTGAGCCCTATGATAAACCAATGTATGCTTTGCTAGGTGTGTTTGGGGAAAACATTAACCATTTTTAAGTTATAGTTGTTGCTCTACAATATTTATTCAACAGGCAGATTTCTTTTGGTTTGCAATTACAATGGAAATTTTTAGTTAATTTTATGTAGTGGCTTTTTATGATTTTTGAAATGTTGTTTGAGCAAAAATATTTGAAAATCATTTCAAAAAATATTTCAAAAATCATTGCAAAAACTTTAAAAAGCCACAAGGAAAAAATAAATTCAAAAAGCAAGAAATTTGAAAATTTCAATCACCTGAGTTAACTTGGTCTTTCCTAAAAAGAACCCCTGTTTACATCAACACAATAACAAAAATGTTTAATTTGTTTATATGAAAAACTAATTATTGTTAATGAATAAGTGTTGATTTCCAAATATTGTCACAAAAATAACTTTCTAATTAGCTACCACAAACCTAAAGTTTAAAAAAAACCTGAAATTAAATTATATACAAATGAAACTAGTTACTAGTTCCATTTACATATAATTGCTTTAAGAGAAAAAAATTATTTGTATTTAACCTGATGATTGCAATAGCATGAAATTTAAAGTTGTAAAAATTGCATAGTTTTATTTTCTAAAAATATATTTTATTACATTTAGCTCTGATTTAGATTACCAACTTATTATTATTTAAATTTATTTATTTATTTATTCAAAACACCATCACTAAACACACAGATATATAACTTATTATTATTATTTAAATTTGTTTATTTATTTATTCAAAACACCATCACTACACACACAGATATATAAATACACACAGATATATTACATTTAGCTCTGGTTTAGATTATCAACTTATTATTTAAATTTATTTATTTATTTATTCAAAACACCATCACTAAACACACAGATATATAAATATAAAAAGTTCAAATCCCATCACACCTCTGAATGTACCTTTAAGGAAGATAGCTGATTAGTATTTTCATTTATAGTTTGTCAACTTGTAAAAGGTTAAGTATTTATAAAAAAAGTAAAATGTTGTTAATGTTATATTTAAAAAATATTTAGCAGTTAAAAATATACCACAAAAATTAAAATTTTAAAATTTATTTTTAAAGCATAAAGGAATTTAAAATATTGCTAATATTATATAACATTGTATAAACTTTATAAGTAAAAGTTAACAATAAGAAACAGCTTTAAACAAAAGCTACCTCAAACTGGTGGTCATTTTGATTGGACAGGTGCTCTGTAAGTATACCTTTTAGAAATAAAACTCAACATTTAGTAATTGGATAAACATTTATAATATTCAAAAAATATTTCATTTACAACAAACTTGCAACATTAAATTTATAAATTATAAATATAAATATAATGTATTTATAATTATTATTAAAACATTTTAACAGAAAATAAAAATAAAAAAAAATCAGAAAAATACTAAAAATAAAATATATTAAGTACATTTAAAAAAAGCACATAAACGAATGTAAATAAAGATAATGAGAAAAAAAGAAAAAAAGAAAAAGCAAACCATGATAAAGATGAGAAGCAAAAGAAAAAGAAAATGAAAAAAAAAGGATAATTTTGAACTGCTTCAAAATAATAATTTAAACAAAAATAAAATTAAACAATTTTAAAATTAAATTATTTTATATTTGTTAAGATTTGAACCAAGATTTGAATAAGCTAAATAAAAAACAGAATAATTATAGAAATTCTAATGAGGATATATATATATATATATATATATATATATATATATATATATATATATATATATATATATATATATATATATATTTTCAGATCAGGTCAGGTTTTCCTGCTACTGGTAACATGTAACCCAGTACAACCTGCTCCATGTCCTGCTGCCTTGTAGGATACGCTTTTTTAGGCAAAGGCTAGGAGAAGTTAACTCCGAATTAAAACACCCCCTGCCTTGGGGCTCTTGGTTGAGTAAAGGCTAGAGATGGTGTCTCGATAAAAATACTCATCTTGGGCAGATGTTACATGCATCCAGCTGCTGTCTTGTAGAAGGCCTCCTAGGCAAAGACTTAAGGGGTAAACAGATTCTATCTGTTGACCAGCCTCGCACCCCTTCCTCATCTATTAGGCTGGCGCAGATGTATTTTTAATACATTGTTTCCAGTTTAGGATGTTGAACGCTGGATCTTCTTGACTCAATGCGTGGGTATTGCTTGTGTCTCTATTTTTATGACTGGGCAACTCATTCTATTATCTCCTTATGAGGGTACAGCTCTAAAACTCAGTTTTATGGTTCTGAGGCCGGCTGGTAGTCAGGTTTCCCGAACTCTGTGGTAGCTCTCAGAGAGGCTGATTCCATCAACAGCCGAAAAATATCAGAGTACTAACAGTGCCATGTTGCGCATGGATGGTGTCCCTGTTTGTACTTTTGGTGTGCATTGCAGAGGCCACATTTGGAGCCCTTTGTTACAGCTTAGGGTTTATTAATAGTAATGAGGCTATTGCTTAGTTGTTAAATAGTGTACTGAGTACTATCTATACTTGAGTCAAGTTCTTTATAAATTTAAAATGACTAAAGTACCTAAAACTAAAAAACACAAAAAACCATCGTCATCACCAAGTTCTCTAAACCTATCATTTACTAATATTCGTGGTCTTCGAAGTAACTTTTCTTCTGTTGAGTTTTATCTCTTGCAAAGTTCACCAGACCTACTTGCTCTTTGTGAGACTAATTTGAGTTCGGCTGTCCCATCTTGTGATCTTAGTGTTGATGGTTATCTTCCTTTAATTCGTAAAGACTCCAATAATCACATGCTTGGTCTGGGCATCTACATTCGTAAGAACTCACCCATTTGTCGTGAAACTAGGTTTGAATCTACAGACTATTCATTTATGTGCTTTCGTTTAGCACAACTTCACTCTATCGTCTTTCTCTTTGTTCTATATCGCTCTCCTTCATCCCAAGATTGCACTATTCTTGATGTTATTTCTGATCATATTGACCAAGCCCTCTCTCTTTATCCATCGGCCAATATCGTCGTTGTTGGTGACTTTAATGCCCACCACACCGATTGGCTTGGCTCTAGTGTCAGTGACTCTGCTGGCGTTAAGGCCCTCAACTTTTGCCTTTCTCAATCTCTAACTCAAATAGTCAACTTTCCAACTCGTTTTCCAGACAACCCTAATCATTTACCTTCTCTACTCGACTTATGTCTTGTTTTGGATCCTAGTCAGTGCTCAATTTCTCCACATTCACCCTTAGGTACTTCTGATCACGGTTTGATCTCTCTAAAACTATTATCAAATTCTTCTACTTCATCAGAATCCCCCTATCATCGTACCACATACAACTACCTTAAAGCTGACTGGGACTCTTTCCGTGATTTTCTTCGTGATGGCCCTTGGGTAGAAATCTTTCGTCTTCCTGCTGACAAATGTGCTTCTTACATAACTTCGTGGATTCAGGCTGGCATGGAATCTTTTATTCCCTCTTGACGATTCCAGGTCAAGCCTCACTCTTCTCCTTGGTTTTCCTCACATTGCGCTGCAGCAATTTCTAATCGAAACTGTTACTTCCATATCTATCAGCAAAACAATTCTCCAGAAAACAGACATCTGTTCACTATCGCCAGAAACCATTGTAAAAAGGTTTTGTCTGACGCCAAAGCTCGCTATTCCCAGGTCATTAAATCTCGTATCTCATCACAAAAATTAGGCTCTCGAGACTTCTGGAGAATCTTTAACAATGTCAATAATAAGGGCAAATCTGTTATTCCTTCTCTCTTGTATGGTTCAGACTTTGTCACCTCACCTAAAGACAAAGCTGAATTGTTTGCTAAGAACTTTTCATCAATATCATCTCTTGATTCCACTAGTTGCGTTTTACCTGACATAGCCGTCAAACAGGTTGATCCCTTGCTTGACATTCGCATCACTTCAGCTTCTGTATCTAAAGTAATTTCCTGCTTAGACTCTTCAACAGCTTGTGGTCCTGACAACATTCCTGTTGTAGTCTTGCAGAGGTGTTCTCCTGAGCTTTCATCCATACTCTCTAAACTATTTAACAAGTGCTTATCAGAGTCTTGTTTTCCATCATGCTGGAAAGCAGCATCTGTTATCCCTATTTTCAAAAATTCCGGAGAGCGATCTGATTCATCTAACTACCGTCCCATTAGTCTTCTTCCTGTCATAAGCAAGGTTTTTGAATCTTTAATCAACAAACACTTAATCTCTCATCTTGAATCAAATAACTTACTTTCTGATCATCAATATGGATTTCGGTCTTCTCGTTCTACAGCTGATGTGCTAACAGTAATAACCGATAGGTTTTACCGTGCATTAGATAGAGGTGGAGAGGTTAAGGCTATCGCACTTGACATTTCTAAAACTTTTGATAAAGTTTGGCATGCTGGTCTTCTCCATAAGCTTTCTTCTTATGGTGTAGCTGGTAACGTCTTTAAGATTATTGAGTCCTTTCTTTCCAATCGTAGTATAAAAGTTGTCCTCGATGGACAACACTCTTCTTCACATCCTGTAACTTCAGGAGTTCCTCAAGGTTCAATCCTTGGCCCTATACTCTTTTTAATTTACATTAACGATCTTCCAGATATTCTCACACCTAAGGTGGCATTATTCGCCGACGACACTACCATTTACTCTTGTCATGATAAGAAGCCTACACTCTCTGATTGCTTGGAGGGGGTATCTGAGCTTGAAAAGGATCTCACTTCTGCTACAGCATGGGGCTCACAGTGACTGGTGAACTTTAATTCAGATAAAACTCAATTTTATTCGGCCAATCGTTATCGTAATAATTTAGATCTTCCTATATTTATGAATGGTAATGTACTAGATGAGTCATCTACCATTCATCTTCTAGGATTAACTCTTACTTCTGATCTTTCTTTTAAACCGTATATCAAATCCATTGCAAAATTAGCATCTGCTAAGGTTGCATCTCTTTATCGAGCTCGACACTTTCTTACTCCAGATTCTATTCTCTATCTCTATAAATCTCACATCCTTCCCTGTATGGAATACTGTTGCCACATCTGGGGCGGATCTTCTAATGAGGCTCTTTCTCTTTTAGACAAGGTGCAAAAACGAATTGTAAACATAGTTGGACCTGCTCTGGCAGCCAATCTCCAACCTTTGTCACATCGTCGTAATGTTGCTTCTCTTTCTCTTTTCTACAAATACTATAATAGGCACTGCTCTAAAGAGCTAGCGTCCCTTGTGCCATCTACTAAAATTCATTCTCGTGTTACTCGCCATTCAATTAAGTCTCATCCTTTTTCTGTGACTGTTCCTAAGTGCTTCAAAAACTCTTATTCTTCTAGTTTTTTTCCTCGAACATCAGTTCTTTGGAATTCGCTTCCTTCATCTTGCTTTCCTGATTCATATAATTTGCAATCTTTTAAGTCATCAGTCAATCGTTATCTTGCTCTACAGATTTAGTCTTTTCTCTTCCAGTAACTTCCAACTCTTATAGTGGTTGCTTGCAGCCTTGTTGGAAGTGAAGATGTTAAAAAAAAAAAAAAAAAAAAAAAAAAAAAAAAATATATATATATATATATATATATATATATTAGGGTGGGTCATTAAATTTTTTTTTAGAGTTGCTAACCTGGCTATGGTCTAGAAAGTTGTTTTTTTATGTACTAATTTAGGAAAGTATTTACTTTTATGGATTGAACAATGTCTTCCACCCGCAACTATAATTACAAAAATTAGCAAGCCCTATTATTATTAAAAAAAAAAGTTTTTAAAAATTATGTGATGTAGGTACTCAAATAAAGCGAAATTTTATACAAATTTCAAAAAATAATTTTTTCATATAAAAATTATTATTTTAGATTTTATTGCATAATAACTATAGTAATTTAACTAAAAGTGAAAAAGGTGCATTTTTGCATGTTTTTTAATAACAATTTTTTTCAGCAATATGATTTTTATGAAACGATTATTATTTTCAAATTTTTTATAAAAATTCGCTTCTTTTGAGTACCAGATTGACCTACTTTTGAAAAACATTTTTTCAATACATATATATATAATCCGTAATTGAGTCAAAAAAAATAAAGACAGGAGAGAATTGAAAAAATTTGTGTGTAAGGAAACAAATGTGTTGAAGTTTTTTGAGCATAAAAGCAAAAAGATTTTTGTGAGTCAGAATAAGATTGTTTTTTCTCTAGTGAAAAATGAGAACATAGCTCAATACCATGGTAGCATGCTTGCTACCATGGTAGAATTTGTAGAAATATAAAAAAA